ATTCCACCATTGTTGCGCAGAAAGATAGTGCAGCAATACCAGAATGGTGTTACCCAGCGTAAAATAGCAAAGACTTTTAAGTTATCATCATCAACCGTGCATAACATCATCAAAAGATTCAGAGAATCTGGAACAATCTCTGTGCGTAAGGGTCAAGGCCGTAAAACTCTACAGGATGCTTGTGATCTCCGGGCCCTTAAACGTCACTGCACCTCAAACAGGAATGCCACTGTCAAGGAAATAACAGAATGGGCTCAGGAATACTTCCAGAAAGCATTGTCAGTGAACACAATCCACCGTGCCATCCGCCGTTGCCAGCTGAAACTCTACAGTGCAAAGAGGAAGCCATTTCTAAGCAAGCTCCACAAGCTCAGACGTTTGCACTGGGCCAGGGGTCATTTAAAATGGAGTGTGGCAAAATGGAAGACTGTTCTGTAGTCAGATGAGTCAGGATTTGAAGTTCTTTATGGAACACTGGGACACCATGTCATCCGGACCAGAGAGGACAAGGATAGCCCAAGTTGTTATCAACACTCCGTTCAGAAGCCTGCATCACTGATGGTATGGGGTTGCATGAGCGCTTGTGGCATGGGCAGCTTGCATGTCTGGAAAGGCACCATTAATGCAGAGAGCTATGTTCAGGATCTAGAACAACATATGCTCCCATCTAGGCATCATCTCTTTCAGGGAAGACCCTGCATTTTTCAACACGATAATGCCAGACCACATTCTGCAGCAATCACAACATCATGGCTACGTAGGAGAAGGCCAAACTGGATTGAAAGTGTGGATTATGGTCTCCTCTGTCCCCAGACGTCTGTTGAGTGTTGTAAGAAGAAGGGGGGATGCCACACAGTGGTAAAAATGGACTTGTCCCAACTTTTATGGGATTTGTTGATGCCATGAAATTTGGAAACAACAGATTTTTCCCTTAAAATGATACATTCTCTCAGTTTAAACTTTTGATCTGTGATTTGTGTTCTATTCTGAATAAAATATTAGATGTTGGCACCTCCACATCATTGCATTCAGTTTTTATTCACAATTTGTTTAGTGTCCCAACTTTTTTGGAATCCGGTTTGTAAATATAAATATATAAATATATATTTAAAAAAAAAAATATATATATATATATATATATATGAAAGGCACTGTTTTTGTATGACAACCCACTGACAAGGATGTCTGCAGCGCCAGCACAACGTTATGACATCACGAGTGCCGTTGAGTTTAGAATTGTGAAAATTTAATAATTTGCACTGCTCCAGTGTTGTCATTGTGTTACGAGTAAATGTCATGAATAAATTTGATATTAAACATAATCCAATTTGAATTGTTAGATCATTTTCAGCCCCCTTTTTGGCATCTGCATTTGGTAGCAGTCCAAACTGACAAAGACCATGGTCTAGGGGGAAAAGTATCGGTATTGGTAGCGGTTATCGGCCAAATAAGTTTTAACATATTGGCATATCGGATACTGGCCAAAAATCCAATATTATGTATCCCTAATCTAAACCACATTTGATTAGATTGTAAAAAATACAAATGGAGAATAATTCAAACCTTATTAAGATAATACAAAGGTTAATATTGTGGACATAGTATTAAAATAGTAAAAGGAAATCTATGATAAAATCATTATTTACAGTTACATTATCCCTGAAAAAGATATTAAAACGCTGTGATTGTTACATTACTTGTAAACCATGAGTGCTTCTTTAAGCCAGGAGCTGCTGGACTCACCTGTTTGTAGTCTCTGTGCAGCTTGTTGTACTGAAACATGTTGTTGAGGACAGTTGAGGCTGCTCTGGCAGCTTTTAGACTCCCCGAACTGAACCAGGAGACATTACATCATTAGAAACAAGCAGATGGAGAATTAACAAGGAGGAAATACCAGAGCTCAAACAGAAGGAAGAGGGTCATTATCAATGACCCTCAAATTTAAGAAAAGCACATATTTGTATGTGTCCAGTGACCGAGAGTACAGTTTTAAACAGAAAAAGTAGATAATAAGTCACGGCTCTGTTAAAACTGGAACACTGAAGACGATAAAGATAATTACAAATAGTCTAAAAAAAGTTAAATCTGGTCCTCTGGATATTCAAAAAAACAAAACAAAGCAAAAAAAATGTAGAAACGTTTCGTCTCTCATCCGAGAGACTTCCTCAGTCTGAGGTGCTGTGTTCAGCTCAGTCTCTTAAATAGCACCTTCTCAGAGTGGATCAACCAGTTTTGCTGCTGACAACCAAAACCAGCTGCTCACATGGTCAAGAAGGACCATCAGCCTAACGATGGATCATTAGCACACTGATGGCTGTTTACTATTCACAGGGGGTTGAGTGATACTAGCAATCACAGCATTGTAAGAGGGGGACAGTTGAACCCGGAGGCCTTTAAAAGAAAGATGAAACGTATCTACATTTTTTTTTTCTTTGTTTTGTTTTTTGTGTTTTTGAATGTCCAGAGGACCAGATTGAACTTTTTTAGATTTTTCTACCTGGATTATTGAGCATGCATCAGGATAATTACAAATAGCGTGAAAATAAGGCTTTAGGAAAAATGTGATATAAATGTTTTTACCCAGTTAAAAATCAATAATCTTAACTGAACATATCATTTATTGTACCTTACTGTAATGATTCATGTTTCATGTCAAGCCAGGTTCATGTTTATGTATTTTCTCCTTGTCCTGCTAAACTCCTCCACTCATCAGCTTCACTCAGCTCACCTGTGCCACTCCCAGTCTTCCTCCTGCTGCACCTGTGTGCTGCGCTTCTTAAGTGCTCCTCAGTCTCTGACAGATTGTCTGATCGCCTCATGCCTGAAGTATCCAGCGTTCTTGTTCCAGCTCTTGTTATTGACCTCACTTCACAATCACGGATTCTTCTCCTTTTTAAGTTCTGCCCAGCGGATATCTGGACCTCGACTTTCGCTCTGCCTTCTGACCACAGATTCTTCTCTCTGATAAGTATATGTCTTTTCTGCCTCTCTGTGAATGACCCCCGCCTGCATTTTGACCAAGATCTCTGACCCTGTACTCTAGGAGTTGCGTGTTCTCAGAACCAAGCTCCACAACCTGAAGAGGAGTCTTTGTCAGACCTTCCAGGTTACACTCTCGTCTCACATGATCTGGCTGTACCTCCGTCCCTCCAAACCTCTCTTCCCTCTGACGTCATCGAAGCTTCTGCGTCTCCACCTGTGATCAAGCTCTGCAGAGTTACAGCTGACCTTCTCCCTCAGGAGTTCACCTCCTGATGAAACTTTCAATAAATCTTTTTGTTTTGTGTGTGGTTGAATTTCCGGGTCCCCTGGTAATTCATTACACCTTACAGGTATTTGAGGACAGGAGCAGAGTCTGTCCTACCTGTTATCGTGGGACGTCTTGATGCCCACCAATTTTGGAAGACCGTTGAAGTAGGCGATGTCTCGTGCTGCCAGAGAGCTGCAGGTGACCAGGTGATTGAGGGCCCCGCAGATGTTGACTACTACCTCACTGGACGGGGTTTTCTGAAGGCCATCGCTGGGCAACATGGACACCAGAACATTCACCATGTTCTTAGCTGCCAAGAAAGAGAACAGGAAATACTTAAGATAAATAATAATAATAATAATAATAATAATAATAATGTCATCATAATGTCAGCACTGTATGTTTCCATACAATGGTGAAATTAGTCTCTGCATTTAACCCATCCACCACGAGGTGGTGCAGTGGGCAGCTATTGAAAGCGCCCGTGGGGCATTTTGGGGATGAGGCGTGCTGCCCAGAGACGCCACGTGATGTGCAGTGACTGGGGATCGAACCTGGGACTTTCGGGTCCCAAGCCGGCTGCCCTGCCTCTACACCATCTCGGCCCCCAAATAACTACCGGAAAGACATTTAATTTCTTGGTCAAAGACCTATCGTACCCATGTGCTCTTTGTTGGTGGCATGCCTGGCCAGGTTCTTCAGCAGGCCGGTCAGAGACCTCAGCTGCATTTCACTGCTGGTATCTAACAGATCCAGCAGGATGGGCAGCATCCTCTCCTGCTCCGTCACTACAACGCTCAACACTGAGGCCCACTAGCACAAGAAAACAGAAGTTTTATTTCTGCAATGATCTGGTAATTATGTTTAGATATTTTTGTGAAGAATATACTATTTAATTTATTCTATGGGCACTTAAAGTAAAGAAAACAATTTTAAAAATTCAATGTGAATGAAGGATAACGTAAATGCATAAGCAGATGGAATTTTTCTGGCGTGAACTTACCCAGGTCTCTCCCACGGTGATATTTTGCAGCGCTCCAAGAGCAGCTTCGCGGGTGGTTGAACTGTTTGTACTGTTCTGTAGAACATGCTTGTACAGTGTCACCACCTTAGGGTGCCACAGCCACTCACCCCCCTTGGGCTGGGGCAGTGTGTTCAGATTCTGGTAACGCTGCTGCTGAGAAGGTGAAACAGACCGGGTCACTTGTGCAGAACAAAACATCAGAGTTCTCCTTACAAATCTGTAATTATTAGTTTCAGATGAGCAGTGTCATTAGTCAGAGTGATGTCACCTCTGTAGCTTTTTTGCTGTTCAGGGTAAAGCAGCCAATGGTGTTGATTTGTTTGGAGGCCGAAGCTCTGGATGGACCCTCCAGAAGGAGGCGGGCTGAGGGGGGAAGCTCCACGTACAGCTGGTACGACAGATTCCTCATGACACACACTGAATTCTCCAAACCCTTAACAAAATGACCAACACACAGTAAGGATACTTACATGAGGTCAAGGGGTTTCATTCTTAATACTCATTATTTCAGTGCAGATAAATCAAGTGCAACTTATATTTTTTTCAGCCTATAAGTCACAGTTTTTTTTTTTGCATAATTTACATGCCCTGCGACTTATAGGCCGAAACGACATATTTATGGATTTTTTTCCCATATTTAAAAAAAAAATTTTTGGCTGAGATATGACAGTTTTCATTTTTTCTGACTGAAAAAAGAAATTGAGCAGTACCATTTTCAGCCACTTGATGGCAGCAGAGTAATAGTTGTGTGGCATGCTGTTGTATCATGTAATAGGTAAACGTGCTATAATGACATTCAAAAATGTTCACGACAAAAACAACTGGACGTCATTTATTATACTTTTATATTTTTTGTTTTTTTCTTAAACTTTTTGAATTTACCATGTCCTGGATGACTGAGAATCTTCACCAGCTATTAATGACTCTATTGGCCTGCCTTAATCTCCTAACCTGTATTCTGCTTTCTGCTTGGAACCGTCATAACAGCTGCACCGCCCCGGTGAAATGCAGCTAATTTGACCATTAAAGTGCATTTATTAAGCAAACGTTAGACTGAGACACACCTTTGTAATAATTTTGAGCAAACAAATAATTGTTTTGTGGCATTTATCTTGGTAAATGTGCACAGCGACTCGTCACGTGCACGCGTTTACTTCCGCGTATTAGGTTTTGAAATATAGCTGATTTGACCATCAAAGTGCATTTATTATGCAAACGTTAGATTGAGACACACATTTAATATAATTTTGAGCAAAAAATATATTTTTTAAGAGTTAATCTTGTTAGAGTCCTCCCGTGCATGCTCCCGCGGCCGCCATTTGGCAGCCCATCGGTTTTTGGCACAACACCGGTCCACATTTCCGGGTTCATCCCACATTTCCGGGTTGTCAGTGGTGACGCATAACCGATGCGACATATACAGCGAAGCGACATATTTATGGATTTTTCAACTTTATTTGACAAATATGGACTGATGCCACTTATAGGGCAGTGCGACGTGTACAGCGGAAAATACAGTAGTTTCAATTTACAGTACAAAAAAAACATTGGTAATATTTTGAGCTAAAAATGATGCAGTCTTTAATGTGTACTTGTCATTTGTGGAAAAAAATTGTTTGATCAATTATTAGTTATCATTAATTGTAAGCAAAGTTTAAAAACCAGATCTCACTCAATCTGTTAGCACATGAAGTACATTTTTGTGCTGTTACAACTTCTACTTATACTATAACTACTTAATGATGCAACCAGTGGAACGACAAAGATTCATGAGTGGAAATGCTGGGACAGCTTATTTTATTTATTTTTTTGTGATGTAAGGTCTGGCCCTGCCTGGGTCGGCCCAGCTCAGGTCTTCCCCAACTCTGCACAGCCTTGGTTGTTTTTCCATGTGGGCAGGATCATCACAGTAAGAACGCTTGCAACACCCAACAATGGAAAGCATGGAACTCATGCTGTTGTTCACCGCTCTCTCGTCAAAAACAAGTTAAAACAAAGCCAGAGAAGACTGCATGCTGCTAGAAGAAACACAGAAGATACATGAGTGTAGGAGGTCATACAGCAGTATCATGTTGATGTAGAAGAGTAAGATGGTGTAAGAAGGTATGCTAATGTTAGCTTGTTTCCAGTTGTTTGAAGTTGCACATAAAACCAGGACAGTGAACCAATCAATGGCCAGCGGTCTGCTGGCATCACATCTTCAGCACCAGTCAGACCCCATGGAACCACGGGTCTTGAGTTCCAAAATTTGACCTGGAAGTGAGAAGGACCCCCCAATACAGCAACTCAGAACCTGGGCTGGAGCCCAGGCTGGGCCGACCTAGGCAGAGCCTTACAATGCAAAAGGGCTATTAGTGGAGGTTATCTGATGTACTTAATGCAGGCTCAGTCCATTAGAAAACATAATTTTTAGAAATTGCTGTTTGAATGCCATCAAAAGTCTTCTGAATCTCTTTCTCTGACCTGTCACCTAGGACCAATCTACCTTGGGAGAGCCTACCAGGGGCAATTGCCCCCAACAGCATAGCTCCTAGGATCATTTGAGCCCACAAACTCCTCCAATACGATAAGGTGGCGATTCAAGGAGGGTTCAGATCAGAGCGGCCATTCCTCCCAATCATGCCCCTCCAGTTCACAGATGATGTGGTCCTGTTGGCATCATTTTGCCATGATCTTCAGCTCTCACTGGAGCGGTTCTTAGCTGAGTGTGAAGCAAATGGGATAAGAATCAACACCACCAAATCTGAGCTCATGGTCCTCAATCGGAAAAGGGTGGATTGCTCTCTTCAGGTCTATGAGCCCATGGTCCTCAATTAGAAAAGGGTGGATTGCTCTCTTCAGGTCGAGGATGAGGTTTTGCCTCAAGTGGAGGAGTTCAAGTATCTCTGGGTTTTGTTCACGAGTGAGGGAAGAATGGAGCGAGAGATAGACAGACGGATTGGTGCAGTGTCTGCAGTATTGCAGACTCTGTACCAGTCCGTTGTGATGAAGAGGGAGCTGAGCTGTAAGACAAATGCCCCTTTTCCACTGTCACGGCGCGGGTCGGATATTTCCGGGTTGAAGCGCGTTGGAGGTATTTCCACTGTTCCAGAAACCGGCTCGTCTCGCTAAATTCTGGCCCGGCTTCTCAAGGGTTCCGAGCGAGCCGCGCCGTGACGTCAGAAACATTGTCGGTCACTGATTGGTCGGGGGGAGGAGTCTGTGGAGTCTTTCCAAACAACCCGATCCACCATTTTTTTTCTCTACCGCTTGCCATTAGCGATGACATGAGGAGCGTATATTTTAGTATTTTGAAGCTATACAACAACAATAATATCAAAGCCGTGGTCAAATGCAGAAGTGCAGGTGTTGTTGTGCTTGGTGGCCGACGAAAAAAGTCAAAGCGAGCTAGATGGAGGATTGGAGGGTGGTTTGGACACGACTACTGCTCTACTTGAACCATTTATAGAAGATGGTGAGTGTTTTCTAACTTTAAACATATTTTAAATTACTCATCCCATCGGTTCTGAACATATTTTTAACTAACAAAAGAGGCTGACGCCATAATAGTACAACGTCGGTGCTACGATGCTAAGCTAATTTGCATAAATGCTAACTGTCCTCCGGTCCCGTTTCTCACTGTATTTTATCCAGAACGTCTTTCAGCGCGTGATGGTTCATCTCTAAACTCCACATTAAACCCTCCAAGCCTCCTGGCTCCTGCTCCTGCTCCATCAGAGGAGTCTACACCTGACAGGTCTCCATCACAGCCCACCTGCACCTCACAGAGCAGCACAACGCTGCAGCTTCTGTGCTCGGTAAGAACAGATGTAACATGTTCCACATCACTTTATTTGTGCCGATAAGGACTTGATTTATTTTATTTTTAAAGTAAAAAACTAAAATGTTGAATAAATACTGAATTGGGATGAAATTATGTACACAGGGTCCCAGTTACAGACAACAAAACGTAAAATAAAAACAGTAATAAGATCTAAGATATGAACTAAGAAAAATATCAACTAAAAAACATCTACTAATAAAACACTAAGCACTAATAGCAGTAAACAATCAAAACAATACGTCAAACAGCAACATGAACTTGAGTTTGTGCAGCCTCATGAATATATAACACTGTGAAGAATCACATCATGTAGCTGCTGATCAGTTTCATGTAGCTGCTGATCAGTTTCATGTTGCTGCTGATCTGTTTCATGTTGCTGTGTTCATTCGTGCTCATCTGTTCACACAGACTCATGTCCGTGCTGCTGTTCTGCGTATTGTGTTTAATGTTTTTATGCTATTAGAGCTTATCATATTTTTAGTTGATGTTTTTATTAGTTCATATCTTAGATCTTATTACTGTTTTTCTTTTATATTTTATTGTTGGATGTAACTGGGACCCTGTGAACATAATTTTGATCCACCACATGGACCACATGTGGTGCGAATGACAAAGAATATCTGCATCTGTATAATACTTTCTGATTCATATATCCATTATTATCATTTTCATTATTTTTAAATCAATTTATTTTTCATTTTCTTATTTGATCAGTTTATTATTATTAATATATCTATTATAGCTGTTAGCAGCACCTTTCTTTGTTTCATGCATTTATTCAAAAACAGTATGTAGCTTGAATTAACCACCTGTTTCTTCTTTCTAGTGAAGAGAAAGAGAAAAGAGTCCAGTAAAGAAAAGTCTTCTTTCATCACTGAATGAACATGAAGAACTGAAGCGGACACAGCAGGAACAACACTTGTGTCTTCTTCTGGATGAAGCTCATGAGACGAGGGACACACAGATACACAATCATTAGTTGGACGCAGTATTTTTTATTTTTGTACATTTTTCACTTCTTACTTTTCCTATTAAACAATTTTTTTCTTAAGTGGTGTCCTTGAACATTAAATTTCCTAAACAAATTTTACAATGTTAAGTTCATATAGTGTTTGTTTAAATTCATACTGGAATTGAGAAGAATTTCCAATTGCATTTGATCTTTAATGGATCCTAAGAAAAGATTACTAGAATCTGCTCAACTGTTATTATGTTATAATGTTTTGGTTCTAGGATGAAGTGACACAAAAACAGTCAACAATTCAGAAAGGACAGTTATCAATTATCAGTCATCAGTTATCTTTTAGCAGTTATCGTTTATCGTCCGTACAACTGTGGCCCGAGAGATTCAGCTGAAAGTCCTGGTGCACCTTTTATTTGAACCTGCAGAGATTTGAACAGCTGATCTGAAGCAAACAGGCAGGAGTTCACCTGAACTGACCACTCCTGCTGTTTGATGGTCTCCTCCTTCGCCACCCGTCCATCCATCCATCCATCCATCCTCTTCTGCTTCAGGGTTGTGGGAGCAGCATCTTCACCAGGGAGGCACAGACATCAACATCCACCTCTTCAACTCTTCTAGGACCCCATGGTGTTCACAGACCAACTGA